TAAAGAATACGCCACTTCAGAGCCCATAGGCGCTGATGATGCTGCCCTTCCCATGGCCTCAATACTCTGGATAACTCTGGGAAGCGTAGTATTCAGTTCTGGGCAAGAGCACTTGATAGCCATCAGAAGAAGTACCCAAACCGTCGTTGCATCACTCAAGTCCCACAGAACGAAGCCCGTCAACGACTCCATCACGTTCCCAGGGTTATCTCTGCCACATTTACAATAGGCTCGGTAGGCACCCGCATCAAGAGAAAATAACGGCTCGAATGTAGTGTTGCACCCTGAGCGTGAATTTGGCACCTCTTCAGATGATGCACGTTCCCTCCACGCATCATAACAAGCCGTAAACTCTTGGTTACCCGGCTCAAAAACCAATTCGAAATCATATGCCATCATCTCATGTTGAAACTGATAAGTCCCACGTACTTCCTGACCGGCGGGTCGTTCTGTTCCCAAATCCGCCCATTCCCTATAGGGGAAATACCGCAGAATTTTGGCATCATCGGGCACTTGTTGATCGTGTAATTCATGAAATCCCCGTATCCAGTCCTTGAGAACACCGATGAATTCCCACCGCTCTACAATTGCATTGTTGACATAATCTGTATGATCCAATAACGCCTTCAAACGGAGTCGCACAATGAGCCCAAGCTCAGCCACAGACTTCCCCAGCATCCGCACAACGAACTCTGTGAATACCGTGAGCGCAGGGGTAGGACAATCGAGCTTTTCACCACCATCGGCAGTAGCTACCAAGCACTCATGCCTAACGATCTCAGGGAGGAGTGTACACTCCCTCATAGTCGCCGAACCGAGATCCATCCGTGCATCTGGGCATCGTGGATATCGGGTATCGTTGATACGGTCAGTCATGGGAGGCTCATATTTCTGCTGAACCTCTCTCTTGAAGTCAACGATTGCTATGGCATGCATAATGTTGACAGGAGCCGTGAGGCAGCATAGGAATAACGAGGCGAGCCGCTGGACTTCGGTACCACTATTACCCCGTGTATAGTTCCTGATAGACTTGATCGGGCGCAACCGATCTTCGATCTCCTTCTCGGTAAGAACCACAGTTTTTCTCTCGGTAGCAGAATCGGGGGGAGTCATTTGTTAAAATATTCCTACGTACAAGGGAGCTCTTGCAGCTGGCAACTGCTACCAACCATCCCTTTGGAACATTCCCTTGTCGATGCTGATATATCCTAATGAGTTTTCTATTCCACTTGCACGCTGGGTTCAACATTGCAACAAAGAACAATCACGTCTGTCAAGAACCAGATCAGCACGACAATTAGCTATTCAGATACTACTAGATCAACTTGAACTTTGCATGAAAGTAGATTTCTCGTGTATCTCACGATCATCAGTTTCCGTCTCGTGACCTTCCCGACGGGAAGCATTATTGAAATGCTATGATCTGAACTATCAGCGGTACTTCAATTCGGTAAGTACACCTTACCCGAGCTGAGATTATTGCGTTATTTCCTACATCCAACTGACACGCACTGTACTGAGCACCTACGGTCAGTAAATAGTTTCGATGTTGCCGATGTTATCATGATGAATATTATCCCCACCCCAAGTGTATGGTATAAGTGACTAACCTGATAGTATCTGCGACACCTTGCCGCAAAACATCATGGGCCTTCCCGACAAGCACAGCTAGTTCGCACATGATGATGTGATCTTACATCTCGGCGTACTGGCCCGGAGTCGAGTATCTGCACACCACAATGGACGCTCGTGCCAAACCCCCGGGAGGAGTTCACCGCTCCATATAGGAGACTTTTTGAAAGTCTCTGCCTGCCACTTCCCTGACCACATGTATACCTACACAGCTGCTTCCCGGGTTTGGGCCAGCCGACACTACTCAACAAATGTGGTCAAAAAATGAACCAGCACGCATGCGCAACCGAGTTATTCATTTAGCTGAACCAAACCCACCACAATGCTATCAATCTGAAAGAAATCCCCAGACCCTCCAACACCCTAGATAACCAAACATTGCTCTTATCTCTCGAAAGATAATGGTGTTGTCGATGTTGGTACTACCGTGGCGGCCGCGACCAAGTTCCTTCTAAACCTCCACCCTCCTCGCTGCTGGTTACCACCTCCCAAGACCGCCCGAGCCGCCTCCGCCCCAGCTCGGGCTGCCGGCCGCGCCTTGACCATCACTCTGACCTCCGAGATTCCGTGGGAACTGTAGCGGCATAATGTTGGCGTTATCCGGGTAACCTCCAGGGCCCCAGGACTGGTGTTGTTGCATCTGCTGAGCCCCACCCCAACCCTGGCCCGTCGTGGTCACTCCCCAACCCCCGATGGCTTGTTGAGGCATAGTGTTGGCGTTATCCGAGTAACCTTCACGGCCCCAGGACTGGTGTTGTTGCATCTGCTGAGCCCCACCCCAACCCTGGCCCGTCGTGGTCGTTCCCCAACCCCCGATGGCTTGTTGAAGCATAGTATTGGCGTTATCCGAGTAACCTTCAGGGCCCCAGGACTGGTGTTGTTGCATCTGCTGAGCCCCACCCCAACCCTGGCCCGTCGGGGTCATTCCCCAACCCCCGATGGCTTGTTGAGGCATGGCATTCCATTGTTGTTGCTGGCCAGTCGGAGCCGGGAAACCAGCGGGTGAGCCGCCCTCCACAAAGCCTTGGGGTCGGCTCACGATCAAACGCCGCCCAAGTACTTCCATCTAAATGAGAAAAATAACAAAGAATTTCCTCCAGGTCGCCCGCCCCCATGCTTACCCCGTTGAAGATGCTCAAGGCGGCTGTTGCTAGTCGGTCGTTTTGGAACTCCACAAAGGCGAATCTGAGACCACCACAGCCTTCCACCATCAACCTTCGAGTAAGCACTACCTCCCATCGCCTCTGATTTCCGCTTGCAACACCGGTGGCCCCAAAGCTGGGTCGTAATCCGGGAGCACTTTACAGGCTGGCTCGAATAACTCATGAAGGACTTGCGGTGTCACCACGCCAATCTAACACAACAAGGGTAATCTTATCAATCCATCACTTTGGAAGCGGCAACTGCCTTACCGCGAGATTCCCAACGTAGAGCTCGCGCTGCTTCCGGTTCTGCGAAGGTTTCGTCGGCATCGCCTTGACTGAAGGGTAACACATGGCATCGCTCATGGCAGTAGAAATCCTTACTAGGTAGGAAACCCTGGTTACGCAGAACGCTGACGTCCATCGGAGGCGGGGCAGGGCCCGGTAGTACTAGCCCCGCGGGCCGACTGATTTCTATTGGTCGTCCTAGTACCACACCACTGGCGTACACTCTCTCCAAGGTCATCCTCTACTACCAAGGAACTCGGCCTTATCCAGTTCCAAACATGTGACGGCGATTTCCTCTGAGGCGAACTCCACAAAGGCGGACATGCCCTCCGCTGACATCCTCACTTCTCTCACCGCACCAGTCGGCAACAGAGCAGCGTACCTGAGGGGAATTAAACTCGAATAAGTCACTGGCGGATTCGAGCTCACTTCTGTTGATATTCTGGTAGAGCCGATAAGGCATTGTTGAAGAATGTCCGTATGTTGGCCTGGTTCGCCTGTCCTAAAGCTAGGTTACCCACATACAACTAAGATAGAGAGGCAGCGTAGAAAAATGAACGCGCATGAACTGGATTGCTTACGCTGCGTGATGTTCCCATCTTAGCTGTGATCCATGTTTGTTTCATCTTCTTTAGCTTCACATTCTTATTTCGACGCTGTTTGTCGGCCTTCTTAGTACTATTCGACTTCTTTCGTACGAGCCCACCCAATCTACTGGGGGTGGATCGCATGGTGTAGCTGTAATCCTCGTTTTTCATAGGTAGACTCCGCATCATCAGCTTGAGCCATGGAGAATATTCCGAGCGCAGTGCCCCCTTACCAACCAAGAATGCCAAATTTTCCACAAAACCCCTCCAATACATATCACGACCTGAAGATGGCTCCCGTAAAGAATACGCCACTTCAGAGCCCATAGGCGCTGATGATGCTGCCCTTCCCATGGCCTCAATACTCTGGATAACTCTGGGAAGCGTAGTATTCAGTTCTGGGCAAGAGCACTTGATAGCCATCAGAAGAAGTATCCAAACCGTCGTTGCATCATTCAAGTCCCACAGAACGAAGCCCGTCAACGACTCCATCACGTTCCCAGGGTTATCTCTGCCACATTTACAATAGGATCGGTAGGCACCCGCATCAATAGAAAATAACGGCTCGAATATAGTGTTGCACCCTGACCGTGCATTTAGCACTTCCTCAGATGATGCACGCTCCCTCCACGCATCATAACAAGCCATAATCTCCTGGTTACCCGGCTCAAAAACCAACTCAAATATCCTCGTCCAAACTTTGTTCTGAATCGCATGGTAAGTTAATGCCTTACTCCGACCTTGAACGATGATGTGACTCAGCAAATAGTCCGGAATGTATTGCAGCCGCCCCAAGTCATATGCCATCATCTCATGTTGAAACTGATAAGTCCCACGTAATTCCTGACCGGCGGGTCGTTTTGTTCCCAAATCCGCCCATTCCCTGTAGGGGAAATACTGCAGGATTTTGGCATCATCGGGCACTTGTTGATCGTGTAAATTAGGAAATCCCCGTATCCAGTCCTTGAGAACACCGATGAATTCCCACCTCTCTACAATTGCATTGTTGCCATAATCTGTATGATCCAATAACGCCTTCAAACGGAGTCGCACAATGAGCCCAAGCTCAGCCAGAGACTTCCCAAGCATCCGCACAGCGAACTCTGTGAATACCGTAATCGCAGGAGTAGGACAATCGAGCTTTTCACCACCATCGGCAGTAGCTACCACGCACTCATGCCTAACGATCTCAGGGAGGAGTGTACACTCCCTCATAGTCGCCGAACTGAGATCCATCCGTGCATCTGGGCATCGTGGATATCGGGTATCGTTGATACGGTCCGTCATGGGAGGCTCATATCTCTGCTGAACCTCTCTCTTGAAGTCCACGATTGCAATGGCATGCATAATGTTGACAGGAGCCATGAGGCAGCATAGGAATAACGAGTCGAGCCGCTGGACTTCGGTACCACTATTACCCCGTGTATAGTTCCTGATAGACTTGATCGGGCGCAACCGATCTTCGATCTCCTTCTCGGTAAGACCCTCAGCTTTTCTCTCGGTAGCAGAATCGGGGGGGGTCATTTGTTAAAATATTCCTACGTACAAGGGAGCTCTTGTAGCTGGCAACTGCTATCAACCATCCCACTAGAACATTCCCTTATCGATGCTGATATATCCTAATGAGATTTCTGTTCCACTTGCACGCTGGGTTCAACATTTCAACAAATAACAATCACGTCTGTCAAGAACCAGATCAGCACCACAATTACTAATTGTCAATTAGCTAATCAGATACTATTAGATCAACTTGAACTTTGCATGAAAGTGGGTTTTTCTCGTGTATCTCACGATCATCGGTTTCCGTCTCGTGACCTTCCCGACGGGAAGCATTATTGAAATGCTATAACCTGAACTATCAACGGTACTCCAATTCGGTAAGTACACCTTACCCGAACTGAGATTATTGCGTTACTTCCTACATCCAACTGACACACACTGTACTAAGCACCTACGGTCAGTAAATAGTTTCGATGCTGCCGATGTTATCATGATGAATACTATCCCCACTCCAAGTGTATGGTATAAGTGACTAACCTGATAGTATCTGCGACACCTTGCCGCAAAAAGATGTACATCATGAGCCTTGCCGACAAGCACAGCTAGTTCGCACATGTTGATGTAATCTTACATCTCGGCGTACTGGCCCGGAGTCGAGTATCTGCACACCACAATGGACGCTCTTGCCATTCCCCCGGGAGAAGCTCACCGATCCCTATAGGAGACTTTTTGAAGTCTCTGCCTGCCACTTTCCTGACCACATGTATACCTACACAGCTGCTTCCCGGATTTGGGCCAGCCGACACTACTCAACAAATGTGGTCAAAAAATGAACCAGCACGCATTCGCAACCGAGTTATCCATTTAGCTGAACCAAACCCACCACAATCCTATCAATCTGAAACAAATCCCCAGACCCTCCAACACCCTAGACAACCAAACATTGCTCTTATCTCTCGAAAGATAATGGTGTTGTCGGTGTTGATACTACCGTGGCGGCCACGACCCAAGGTCCTTCTAAACGTCCTTGTCGAGGTCACCACCCTCCTCGCTGCTGGCTACCACCCCCCAAGAGCGCCTGAGCCGCCTCCGCCCCAGCTCGGGCTGCCGCGTCTTGACCATCACTCTGGCCTCCGAAATTCCGTGGGTTCTGTAGCGGCATAGTGTTGGCGTTATCCAAGTGACCTCCAGGGCCCCAGGACTGATGTTGTTGCATCTGCTGAGCCCCACCCCAACCCTGACCCGTCGTGGTCATTCCCCAACCCCCGATGGCTTGTTGAGGCATGGCATTCCATTGTTGTTGCTGGCCAGTCGGAGCCGGCAAACCAGCGGGTGAGCCGCCCTCCACAAAGCCTTGGGGTCGGCTCACGATCAAACGCCGCCCAAGTACTTCCATCTAAGCGAGGAAAACAACAAAGAATCTCCTCCAGCTCGCCTCCCCCATGCTTACCCCGTTGAAAATGCTCAAGGCGGCTGTTGCTAGTCGGTCGTTTTGGAACTCCACAAAGGCGAATCTGAGACCACCACAGCCTTCCACCATCAACCTTCGAGTAAGCACTACCTCCCATCGCCTCTGATTTCCGCTTGCAACACCGGTGGCCCCAAAGCTGGGTCGTAATCCGGGAGCACTTTACAGGCTGGCTCGAATAACTCGTGAAGGACTTGCGGTGTCACCACGCCAATCTAACACAAGGGTAATCTTATCAGTCCATCACTCTGGAAGCAGCAACTGCCTTACCGCGAGATTCCCAACGTAGAGCTCGCGCTGCTTCCGGTTCTGCGAAGGGTTTGTCGGCATCGCCTTAGCTGAAGGGTAACACATGGCATCGCTCATGGGAGTAGAAGTCCTTACTAGGTAGGAAACCCTGGTTACGCAGAACGCTGACGTCCATCGGGGGCGGGGCAGGGCCCGGTAATATTAGCCCCGTGGGCCGACCGATCTTCATTGGTCGTCCTATTACCACACCATTGACGTGCACTCTCTCCAAGGTCATCCTCTACTACCAAGAAACTCGGCCTTATCCAGTTCCAAACATGTGACGGCGATTTCCTCTGAGGCGAACTCCACGAAGGCGTACATGCCCTCCGCTGACATCCTCACTTCTCTCACCGCACCAGTCGGCAATAGAGCAGCGTACCTGAGAGAAATTAAACTCAAATAAGTCACTGGCCGACTTAAGCTCACTTCTGCTGGTATTCTGGTAGAGCCGATAAGGCGTTGTTGAAGAATGCCCGTATGTTGGCCTGGTTCGCCTGTCCTTGAGCTAGGTTACCCACATACAACTAAGATCAAGAGACAGTGGGGGAAAATATGCACATGATCAACTACGTGTGTTGGAGACAATATGAAGATTTCGAGGAAATTTTGGAGAAATTCCTATTAATTTCTGAAACATTTCTACCCGGATCCGCATATAGATTCCTCGAATTCGTCAGCAAACTCCCGGCTGAGGAAAGCGAGCATATATCCCAACAATGACATCGCAAGGCAGGCAAACAGACTCACAGTTTACCTCCTTCGCCTTCTTATTAGCCCCCGCGCCACCAGGCTGCATTGCTTGCTGCAAGAGGAGCTGTTGGGGGTCTATGGAACCATCCGGAGGGGCCGAGCCTGACCGATATATAACCCGTCTCCTGCAGCGGTTCCCTGGCAGTACTAAAGTTGCTGTGTTTAGCTCCGGGCTGTTCCGTCTCATCATCCCAGCCGCTTTTCCTCGCGTGCCTCCGTCTCGATCGGGACCGTGATCTCGAACTTCGCGAGCTCTCAGAGCCCGAGGACGATCCAGACCTTGCGCGGCGACGTCGGGTGCCGCGGTCTCTGGATCTGATCTCGTCAAGGTTTGGTATGACATGACCAGCACCCGCCTCACCTTGAACGCCTCCGACTCTCCCGGGCAGAACCCCGACTCCTCCCACGTGAGTTGCTGCGATGCCTACCGCGGTCTCTACCACCAGAGCTGCTTTCTCGACGTTGCCCATTGTAATCAGCTGGAGGAGGACCGGGCTGAGGCGCCGTCTCGGTGCTTGATGCAGGGTCATCCCAGCCAGGAAGTGGCGGTGACATTATAAGCGACAGTCACGAAAAGATCTAAAATCAGACCCCTCGAGCCTTGCCAACTCAAGTGCCCTCAGCCCCCAGGGGCCAGCCGACGATGCCGCAACAGAACATTATTAAACGTCTTTACCGGCCGTCGAAGTGGAGGAGGAGGGAGCAAGCCGTGCCTCGATCTCGGGAGGGATCTCTCCTGAGCAAACCCACGATACGATAGACGTACCCAAGAAGCCATGCACAACCTGTCCTTAGGGCTTTCTCCAACTGAGTGACCTCTTCCATCGACGACGCCGCCTCAATAGCCTCTTTAATGTGAGATAGGAGTAACCCCTTATCAGCAGCAGCCGTACCTTAGCGTACCAGCACTAGGCTGCTGGACTACCCTTCTACCCCCTACTACCATTCGGGATATTCTCCTTGCCGTTTGCCTCCGCCTTGCCCTCCTCATCTTGGGTAAGCTTAGGGGCGATTTTAAGAAGGAATTTCTCCCCCTCTGGGCCACCGAACAGTTTCGCTGCCGCCTCGCGCTCCTACCCCCATCACTGCGGACCACCCGAGACCGGCCTCATTACCTTATCCTTCACCCTAGAGAAATCTATGAACCGTACGGTCTTAGGCAGTATGTGTATGAGGAAAAGTCGGTAATGCTGTGCATTGCAAACTTCGTTGTCCAACACAGTGAGGCGCTCCAAATGCCGTACTAAAGCCAGGACTCAAACGACAGCAGTGACGAGGCGACTTACACTGGGCCAAGGGGTAGAGGTCCCGCAGCTTTTCTATGCGGTTGTTCGTGAGGACCACACTGGTCAGATTAGGCATGTTTTCAAAGCACGTGGAGCCTATGCGGGTGATGCGGTTGTTGGCCAGCATCTAAGCACATGTGGCTTCGCACACAGCAGGAGACCCTATTACTACTACTACTACTACTACTACTACTACTACTACCAGAGTACGTAGCCGCATTAGGGGCGCGCTCTCATTCGGTATCTTCGCTATATCATTGTCCGTCAAATCCAGACAGTCGTAATGGTCCTTAGTAGCACTCAGATTCTCCATCACAGGAATCTTCAATCTGAAACCACCATTGAGACCAGCAACGATCTAAGCTGGTGCTTCCTACCCACGTAGGACCAGAGCCCTATCACCAGCTGGGGTGATCATTTGCTCCCCGCTCTGCTCTATGAGGTCGGCTGTAAGGCGCATAGTGTAGGACAACAACGCCTGACTCCACCATTGCCACCGATGAACAAACTACAGCAGTCAGCCTTGGAAACGACAGTAAACACTCCATACTGATCATGGGGTAGAGGCACACAGTACACAGAGGCCAATACTACGCAAACGCCTGATATCAGAGATACCGTGCAGCAAGCCGATCTGGGAGCGACGAGTCTACTGTAGGGTGCCTCTCACCAGACAAAGAGCCAAGGCCACCACGCCCGACTAGCCCCATTCCCCCTTAGAATACTCCAGGAGTCCGAACAACTGACCGAAGCGGATCTGCAATCAGGACAAGGGCAGTTAATACTACAAAGCAGGAATATCCTCGGGAACAGCACTGGTTAGATCCATGGGGACAGCCGATTGTGTGATCGGGACCTGCTGATGGTCTCTCCACTGCCATCTCTCTCCAAGAGGCCTTGTTAGCTCTAAGCCATCCGCATCCGATTTATCACCGCCATCCTCGCAAATGCAGCCTAAGGGCGAACTCCGCATACCTGGCTACTGCTGCCAGAGCCGCTCCAACCACGGCATCGAGACTATCTGGCTCGGCGGCCTCCTGGACGGGATGAGGCACCCTGCCTTTCGGTGTAACAGCTACACCCCCGCTCGAGCTGTGACCTGCACTCATTGATGGTCCGAGCTAAGAGCCTCTACGAGCAATGAGGCCTCCCTGCCTCGTTCACTCGAGCCATCATCAGCTTTGGTCAGGATGGCCCGTGGATAAGACAACATACAGTATATGATACCTGCAAAAGCAAGGGAGTTCAGGTATAGAAGGTGCTGTGAGTGGAGCCCTAGTTCAAAGGCGACACTCTCTCCACCTTTTCACAAGCCGAGTTTATATTCTTAGGTAACTTCCAATATTGTCCCCAGTGGATGTACATTCCTGCAATGTATTAGCTCCCAGTTGTCTCCGCGAATTCTCTATAATTCTTCCTAGCGAAGCGACGTTCTCTGGGCGACTCTGTCATAACACTGGTTGCCATGACTGACCCTCTTAGACTGAGCGATAACTTTCCTATCTCTCCGCATTATGTGTTTAGGAATACCCGATATGAGGAACCCAAAACAGCACAAGTACCTTCCTAGGGTTCACCACCTCACACCACGTTAACGGATCTGGCAGCTTACCTAATGCTTAGTCAAGTGTGAGGTGGCTATCGTAGAGCATCTTCCGTGATGCAACATGATTCATACGAAGCGTGTATCGACAACCAGTTCGTGCCAGCATACCCAGCTCGCTTTCAGAATTTCATTTAGTGAGTGAACGCGCTTTCGAGACAACAAAAACATAGGCCAGAAACAACCACCGATTCTACGACGGAACACGCAATGACTCATCCGAATTCCAGACGACCCGAAGCCAAATATGATCGAAACCTCTCCCGCCATACCGCATCTAGATCCTCCCTCACAGGCCCTGTTGGAGAGCCCCGTCAGGATTCACGTGGCATCAAACCATGACAACTACGGGTCAACCTGAAGATACCACCTGCCACACCACTGCCGACGACAACCTTCTTACCTTATCATTACTAGCTGGTCTATGACTAACTTGTCTGGACATACCACTCACTGTCACCTCCCAGAGAGCAGTTACAGGCTCCACATCAACTCGGGATGGGACAGACATCGCTGAAGTAGGTGCATGTGACAGCCTGCATCACTTGGTTCCATTCTAGCCATTTTCCGACAACCCTCATCCCACACCTATTTGATCACTCCGCGAACTTCAACACAAAAGGGTATAGTTGAAGAAGAAACTCAGTCGCTCGAGGATAATCAGCAACAGCAACATAATCACCAATGCTACAGCTGCGAGGCTGCCGTCAGACAACACCATTTGGACGGGAAAATATTCCACAGCACTAATGTCGAGAACACTACGATGAATCTCAAAGCCGATACAGGCACGAACAACACCACAGCCTCCACTGCATATTGGAGCAGTCAGACAAATCGACCAGATAGAATTATCTCAACAACGACAGTGCTTCTCATGACGGATAGCAGCCGCAGCAACAACGACAGGGTGACTGTGGACTACTACTCCTCAACTGTACTTGATAAAAAGGCACGTTGGAATGATGATGATAATACTGCAGTCACAGCAACGGCATCAACAACCACCTCTATAAACATTTTACAAGGCGCCCTGCTGAAGTGCCTGCCACTTGTTCAACATGAGCTTCTGAGTTGCAAGAAGGGCTTCGCGAGCGACCTGAAACCAACAACAATTAACTACAACAATGACCACCAATGACTTACATCACGGTCCTTGCTAGTCATAAGCGCCATCACGGCCGGCTTAGCAGAGAAACGGTTCAAGACCTGTTTTCCAGTTGGGTACACACGGGCAAACTCGCCAATGTCGTGACAAGCAACGGCCTTAGTAGTGTCGTCGGTGGAGTCAGACTTGAGCAGAGCAACGAGAGCCTTAACAGCAGCGAACTGCTCCCTGTCGAATTTCTCAGCGTTCTCAAGCCAGAACTTCTCCGAGTGGATGAATCCCCAACGGAGCTTGTTGGTTCGCAATTCCCTTTCATAACGCTCAAAGTTGGTATGAGTGCTGACCTAAAAATACGATATGTAGACGCGAATGACCTGTCCAACCTACCTCGCTGGCAATCATAGCAGCGACCTTACGGATGTCCTCATAGAGCTCCTGATCGCGCCACTTCTCGTACTCCAAGTTCTGCACATAGTGTATGATACCACTCTCCACAATAGCAGTGCACATCTTGTCGTCACCGAGGAAGTTGGACAACACGGCAAGAGTCATGCGGATGACCTTCTCAACACGGCAATTAGCAACAACCGAGAGCAGGGCCTGACCAGAAACCACACCTAAGGAGCAATTACGAACCAACTTATGACTTACCTGAACGATATCATCACCCATATCCGCAACTGACGAAGAGACAAGCTCCTTGTTGAAGCTCACACACCAGATGCAGAAGACACCACGGTACAGGACCAAGGGATCGGCAGACTCAACACCAGAGATGGCGTTCATGATGCACTTCTGGACCTTCCTGATGTTCCACACAACAGCGCGGAAACCGTCGAACTTGAGGAGGTTGCAGAAAGCATCGAGGCGCCCCAAGTCACTGACACCCTTGAACTTCATGTTCTTGTCGTCAGCAACGGAATCGGCAATCATCTTGGCCTGAAACCACAACAAAATGAGCGGCAGACTGAGAGTTGGAAAAACGTACCTCCTGGGGATTGAACTTTCGACCACCATCGTGACTCATGATGTCAGTCAAAACGTAGAGCTGACAGGCAAGAATAGTCTAAAAGCAACCAATTCCAAGTGACTTACAGCCTTGTCGCTTGAATAGGAATCATCCGCAGCACGGTCAGAGCTGAGGAAACGAGTGAAGGGCAACATCATGTCGTTCTTCCTAGCGAGGGCAACAAGGAGGTTCCAGAAGGAGCAATCAAAACGACTAAAATGACATAGATATGAATTGTAGTTACAGACTCAACTGTTTGCTTACGTAGCCTCGTAAATGACAGTTAGGGCGTACTGGACAGCGTGCATGTCCTCAACACTCTTGAGAACAGAAAGGAGGCCGACCAAAACCTGACAACGGAAATGACTGCTTACGAAGTCACACACCGTAATAACCTACCTCCTCATTGCGCTGGGCGAGAGTCACCACTGCACTGCTGGAAGTTCCGTGAATCTGATCCAACCACTGGGCAGAACCCTTAGGGATCTGACCAGCGCTCTCAAGCCTGACAAAAGTTGAGATCTAATCGCAATCGAGCAGTAGTAGACTTACGACTGCCAGTCGGGCTTGGAGCTGAGAATAGCGGCCTCCCGCGAGAAGTCGTCAGGGGCGGCCTTGGCTTGTTCGAGCAGACGCTGATGAGATTCTTGCATTACTGTGAAATGAGCGTTGAAACTACAACAACAACCATCAACTTCACAACGCATTCAGAACATGCCGCTGCAGTTACGAGAGATTGGCGAACCGCTAAGCCACAAGTGAGCAAGACGCTTAAGATGGACCTTTACCACAGGGAAAGTCCTCGACTAGGAACATCAACAGAAACCGATGATCACACACCAGCGACGAGGTAAGCAGTAACGCATGAGAGAGAACCATAGACATGAGTTTCGCGGCATACGCAAAGTTGGGAAAGTTTTCCGCTAATTTGCCTGGCATGAGTTACGCTGAAGCCGAGCTTATGCGCACCAAAGCGGTGAAATCTTGCAATCTTGATCAGCCTTATATGCAATCTTGCAAATCTTGGAATCTAGGAAGTTCCTTACGACCATCGACAGAAGTCGTTGGTTGTTGTCACCTGCCCAACTTGTGTATAACATATACGGCCTTTTTACTGACATTCTCGCCGTATCAGTTCGGGAAAATAACATTCTACGAGAAGCTGCTGATTCTCATCATTATCAATAGTACTATTAGCGAAGAAGTAACATCAACAACAAGAACCTCATTCTACTATTATGCCGACCAAGACTTTAAAGGAGCATGAGACTACGTCAGAGGATGAGAAGCCTGGTGGTGGCTCTGGAGATGATGACATTTCCGTAGACCATTCTAGTCAGTCTTCGGGCTCCAGCAGTGATAGCAGTAGTTCTGGACCACATGTGGCTGGACGGGTACGTTCTCAATCTGGGCAGGAGTGTGTAGTGGAGAAGAGCCCTAAGGGGCGGTTCCATCGGTTTAATCGGAAATTGGGATCGGGAAGTTATAAGACGGTTTATTTGGCGTTCGACAACGACACTGGTCGAGAGGTCGCCTGGAACGTCATTTCCTTTGCGCATTTATCGAGGCACGAGCGAAAACGGATTGATGATGAGATTAAGATTGCCAAGTCACTTGACCACGATCGGATTATATCCTTTATCAATGCATGGATCAACAAGAAGAAAGAGGAGGTCGTATTTATCACAGAGCGCGTTAACGGCGGCTCTCTACGACAGTACATCAATCGTTTGGATGGACCCTTGAAGGTTAAGGTCATACGGATGTGGTGTAAGCAGATCCTAGAGGGTATCAACTACTTGCACAATCAGCTCAAGGTGCCTGTAATACATCGGGATTTGAAGTGTGATAATATCTTTATCAATGGTAGCGACGGGAAGGTTCTTATTGGCGACCTCGGCCTTTCCACTGCACTGCAGCATGCCTCTGTTGCTACCTCTATTGTTGGTACTCCTGAATTCATGGCACCGGAGTTGTATGAGGAGAAGTACGGTCCACCAGTTGACATATATGCATTTGGTATGTGTCTATTGGAAATGGTCACGAGGAGGTTCCCCTACGCTGAGTGTGCTACTCCGGGTCAAATCTACAAGAAGGTTATCAATGGTGAGATGCCTGACAGTTTGGAGCGAATACAGAACAAGGAGTTGAAGCGCATCATCGAGCAGTGCATTCAGAAGGAACCGGCGATGAGGCCCACAGCAGCTGAGCTGCTAGCGATGCCTTATTGGGACCAGAAGGATGATGGTGACGAGTTGGCCACTTTAGAGCCTCTATCGACCACTAAGGATGACGGTGATGAGGGGGTTAATGATGAGAGCCCTTCTAAGGAGAAAGGGCATCGACAGCGGAAAGCTCGTGGTCTCTCTAACCGTGGTGATGATGCTCCAGCTGTTGTCGCCCAGCCAGCTGTGGTGGTGGTCACGGCGGCTCCTGAGGACCGTTCGGCATCAACCACTCCTCGAGGTAGTGGTGAGGGTATTGGACGTAGTGACGTGTCTACTGTAATTCACAAGTCTGAGACTAGAAGTGAGGAGGAGAGGGAGGATTCTCAACAACAACAAGAACAGCAGCAGCAGCGGCAAGGAGTGGGCTCCACGGAGCAGCCGTCGCCGTCAATAGCAGCATCAGAAGTGGAGGCCGACACTGAGAGTGTTAAGAACACCCCATCTGGTGTGGACCGACAGAAGCCCGGAACGCCCAATGAGGGGCTGCTGGGTCCCAAGTAAGCTATTGCATGTCGTTTGTTTTGGGAGTATTTTCTTTCTTTTCTCAGTGATCGGACTGTGTCGGCGGCAGTGGTCACGGAGCCGTTGTTGGTCCCTCCAGCAGCTGGTATGGAGGACATTGCTAGCGACTCGAGCGAGGCGCCTCAGCTTATATCGGCTACTACTCATATTGAGGCGGCCACTTCCCCCAATCTAACGGGTGGGGAAGCTGTGATACGTCGGGACGTGGCGAGGAGGCCGCCTAATGAGAAGGTGATGGCAGCGGTGGCGGCACATGATGGCACGGTGCACCTCCCTCCCGAGATTGAACAATTTTGCCGTCACCAGTTGGGCTCGGACCGGGTCACTAAAGTGGTGCTGCTTATCGAAACAGAGACGGACAAGTAGGTTCTATTGCTGCTACTTTGGCATTCAGTTTCCCCTCAGGTTTCAGCGCATTAACTTCGAGTATAGTCTGGATGAGGACACTTGTGACTCGATCGCTGAGGAGTTGCTCGAGAACAACCTCGTGTGGCGCGAGGTCAATCGAGACCGACTTGTGCAGAAGATTCGACAAGCTGTTTTTATGAGGGTCAAGCAGATAGCATTGGAAGAGGGAATTCCTTTGCCCGCACCAGTAGCTGCTGCGATCGCTAGTAGCATCACCTCTACTACTACTGCTGCCAAGCAGTCTGGTGGTGAATCGATGGCATCGCCGATTACAAGGATGAGGGAGAGCCAGGTCTCGAGGGTACCGGACTCGCCCTTATCACGCCCAAGGACCCCCCATGGCTCGACGGTCACAGTGTCGGAGTTCGCTCCTACGGCAGAGGCGACTTCAGTGAGTAATGATGGTGATGTGGCTGTAGAGGGAGTAGCGGCAGTGAAGGCAGCCGAGGGGGCGACTAGGGACAATGGTCCGCTCGCTCAACCGCAAGCGGCCATCAATCCGCAGACTTACGCGGCAGCTGCCGCGACTGTGCCCACGCGTACCCCTACGACCACGGCTCCGGCCCCTCTGGAGAGTAACCTTCCCACGGCCGTGAATGTTCCTTCTCGACCAGCTCCTGCTACAGTTGAGCCTGTCGAGGTTGAAGCAGCTGAGAGACCACCAGCCCAAGGGCCTGCAGCGTCACCCACTACGCCTGCCAACGTTGTGTCCCCGAGCAATCATGTGGCGATAGGGTCTGGCAAACCGCCACCAGCGCCTCGGCCCGCCTCTCATGCAGGGATGGGCGTCAGTGGACGGCATTCACACGCTGAGGTTCCGTCTATGAGTGGAGTTAGTGGGTCGGTGAAGATTAATAAGAAAGCTAGTTTATCGAAGTATGTGCCTCTGACGCTGGAGACGACGGCTCATCTTACAAACGAGTCCGTCTCGGGGGCGGGGTTAGAGCAGGTGGTGCCGCATTTGTACAAGGAGGTTCTTAATGCGGAGTTGGCGGACTCGGGCCAATCTGGTGCTGATTCGACGGCGAGCGGTAGGCCTACTTCTACGACGATGTTGTCAGAGGTGCCAATTTTCCCGGAGATCCCTCCGCCGCTGAACGATGGTCATGCTCCTACTGAGGAAGACGTGGCGTGGGTACAGATAGCACTGGCGGCGGTAGTTCCCAGTGTGAAGCTGAATGCTTTCCCGAAGCTGGGCGTTATGTGTCCGGGCACAGTGGATGCAATTAAGGGTTTTCAGGAGTACCACAGTCTCCCTGTAGATGGTAATATGGATGATCGGACGTGGCAGCTGTTGGTGGATTCATTGGAGACGAGGAGACAGAAGATTGAGGAGAGGGAGGCGAAGAGAGCAGAAGCGAAATTAAAGGCTAAACTGGTAAGAAATCTACTGGACATAGCTCGATATACTCCTAATAGTAAGATTTTGTACTCCTACTCCTAGTATCAGTAGTAGTAGCAGACCCGCGCTCATTGAATGAATGAACGCTCATTGAATTGTCTTTTGTTTAGGAAGCGGAGCGAAAGCGTCAAGCTCGACAAGCAGAATCGGCTAAAGCGATGGATATGATGGAGAAGACTCTGTACGGTTTGTCGGCTCCGGCGACGGCTGGGCCGCCATCGGCAGCTAGCAGTGTGGCGGGTGGTGCTCTTACTACTACCATTCCTCCGTTACATCATCCAACTAGTATGGTGCTACCATCACAGTCCCCTCCGGCCCAACATTCCTCTCCATCAGGGGACACCTTGGCACTTGTCACACCCGGTACACCGCCTCGTCAGAGTGCGGCTGCAGTGGGTGCTAGCAGCAGTGGTGGTGGTGTTGGTTCGCAAATACCGAGGTCGGGCAGTGTCCCTCCAACAGTGTCCCCTTGGGTGGCGCAGGGTGCTAAGTTGCCGCGCACGGTGAGCTACACTGGTACACCACCCTCGTTGTCACGGAACGCCTCTCTACCGAATGTAGTGGGGACGCAGGCACCTCAGCAAATGGTTGATGTTTTCCACTCGTTGCGAAGGGTATCACCGACCTTGTCGGAAGCGGGTTCTCAACAGGGAAGAGCGCCAAGTGCAAGTCATTCACCCCCTGCTGAGAGGAGGAGTCTGTATTCGGCTCCGGATTCCTATAGCACTACTAGCACTAGCAAACCACCCTCTACGTACCAACCGCCGATGGTGACCATTCCATCTGGAGTAGCGGCAGCAGCAGCAGCACCGGTGACTCAGCAGCAGCAGCAACATGTTCTTGCGGGGAACCTTGAGCTCAACAGCGAGGCCTCATCTGTTATTGGTTCGGTGGTGCCTGAGGCGGCCTCAGCTCCTAGTGGTGCCGGAGTATTGTCCACAACGTCAGCGTCGTTGGATGAACTCCTCACTGCTAATCCTGCTACTACTACTGCTACCACCACCCAACAACAGCACCCACCTCTTTAGTGAGTGCGGCGGTGTAAATTTGATGATATTTCGCTCAAGGTTTATCACTAGAGTATTGGTTTGAGCCCAAGAGTGAGTACTGTTCCGTTTGTCATGCTACTCTTACTATCTTCGTCATGAGCAGTATGCTCCTATTGCCGTCTGGTTTACATTCAGTAGCTTCAGTCTATTCTGAGGTTATACTGATTTCGTCTTGAGTGACTTGAAATATATCTTATGAAGGTGGAGCAGCCTGTATCATCATCATCGTCGTCGTTATTGCCATTCTGTGGGGGTAAGCTGCACTTATGCAGTCGCTGCCGTATTCGTGGCAACTGCTGTACTATCACTATGGAGGATTGTTGGGATTCTCATCATCAAAGTTGTTGTGACCGAGGTGTGGTAACAGTAGTAGTGCAAATGATCCCCCTTGTGGCCTCCCATAGTATTGCTCTGCCTGATCTTCGTCGTCTACGTTCCGTTCTGTTTCCCTTCTTCTTCTTCCTCCTCCTCCTATTGCTGCTGCTGTTGTTGATGCTGCCTCCCTGGCTATGACCATCACTGAATCGAGGGTTTTGTCACGATGATGTTGATTATGGAAATCATCATTGTGAATATGTTGTGAAATCAGTGATGATGCATATGTCTACGAAAGCGGCTACCACTACCATTACTCTCAAGTCATGGTTTGATTCGTGCAGTTCCGACGGCAAGAGGAGGATTCATACGGCTCATATCTCCACAAAGGAAGCGTGGTGGAGCTTAACAAGCCAATACCTGTATTATTGAAGTGTTATTGTTGATCAACAACCATTGGCAGTTGTGTGAAGGAATTGGTGACCTTCCTGTGTAGATTGCGTTGGAAGAGGGGAGAAACTGATGTGCTCATTCGGGCGGTTTGTTAGCTTTGCTTTCCAACATCACCGTTGAAGAATGGAAAGTGTTCTATTTCGGGTCATCCTGGGTCGCCGCGCTTTTGAACTTGTGTGGGTGGTAGACTACCACCGACCAGTGGTGGTCACGCGTTGCGACCGAAAGCAGTGTTTTAGTATCAGCAGTTTAGCCTTAGAATTCGAAATCATCGTCAGTGTCAGTGTCTAGGGGGGTTTGGTTAGGAAGCTCGGCTAGGCTAACCGTTGGACGATGTGTTCCAGCTCAGCAAAACAGCGAGATGTGATGTTGTAGACGCTCGTGACGTTTGATGTCGTCATATCGTGAGTTAGTCTTGGAACCTTGGTTCACGGCGTGAACTTCACGTCACGTGCACGTCGTCACTCTGCGTCACGTCTCTGGTGGGATCTTGCGGAAATTTTCACCGCCCCGTTTTATCTGAGAAATGAGCTCGTTAACTGAGTTGAGTAAAATTGTATCGAATTGTAGTATCACTTACAAGACAATCGTCGTACCTGATCATCTCTTCTTTGTGCTTAGTGGGAAAAGGTGAAGAATTCACGTAATTTGTGGATAGGTTTTTTGCCTTGTATAATTACCATGGCGAGGGCGGAGACTTCTTCTTACATAGACTCTCATCATTCCGACCCGTTCAGTGGAGTGGAGCTGCTCAAACTGCCGTCCTCGACTGTGGTAGATCCTGCGAGTGTTGCTCTTTTCTGCCAAGGTCCTTATTGGTTCAAGCTCCTCGTATCGGATGCGCAATTTGTCGCTCTCTCACGGGGTAAGGCGGTGATCCAGGATCAGACCGGGTGTGCTTTGGCCTTCTCCGCGGGGACGTGCATGGTGCTTGAAAACAGCTATCATGCGCTAATGGTTGCATCGTCGAGCTTGGATTCTCTTTGTACACTTTGTCGCGACATTGTCGAGAATTTCCTTTTTCCGGCAAGTGAAGAGGACGGCATTCTGATATGTTTGGGTAGTGACGCTGCTCTTTGCGCGGCGTTGGATGCTGGGGGCTCGGCAATCTGTCCTAGGGCTCCGATTGCCGTCGAAAACGATGAGTACATTATTAGAGTGTCCAGTAAGGCATGTGCAGGTCTACCGAGTGTATTGGGAATTGTGTGTAAGGAGGTCATAAATGCTATCCAGGCTGATAAGGCAGGTATGATGAAGATAATGGAAATAGAGTATTCATCGCCACGGATAGCGCAGTCCCCGTATGCGCCTACAGCCGTGGTGCCCTCTGCTCACTGTGAGCAGCTACCTTCTATTGAAGTCTCCAAAATCTCGATTTCCTTTCCTCTCAAAGAGGCTGAAGCCAATGAGATCATCTTGGCTGAGGTCGCTATGAGAAGGATCTCGCACGAGACTGAAACCTTCATTCAGCTGAAGCGCCCCCACCACAATGATATGGACAAGGCCGAGATGGATGTTGGTGGATATGTTATGACTATCACTGGTACGTTAAATGGGCTCCACTCGGCTCATCGGAAGATAGTCGCTATTCTCGTGCGAGCATTGCTCAAAGAGGAGGCGGAGACAACGATAAGGTCCGCGACAAGCACAGACTTCTTGGCCAAAGAACAAGAGCCTACTGTCGTTGTCGGGGACAAGTCTTATTCCTCTACTAGTACTACTATTACTACTCCCTATGGAACTGATATGTTATTCAAGTCTACATAGGCTTCATTAGTCCGCCAAGGTGCGGTAACTTATTGCTAGTCCTTGGACCATTGTGGATGCCTCTAATAGATAGGGGTGTCCGTCGTCTCATTTTTGCTACGGAGTGATGTAATGGTATGGTACCGATTACTAGAGAATACTACACTTCGTGACATCATTGGGCTTAGTCCTTTTGCTCCAATACATTTTCATTAATTACCTCTTGAGTTCTCAGATAGCCTTCACTGTCACACAGGTTTCCTATCACTAATGTCGTACTCTCATCCTCACGGTTACCTGGGTACGAGGGAGGATCATCTGCAACTACAAGTAGCAGTTGCTCACTCTGAGAAATTTGCATCGCTATGTGGCTATGGAGGCTGAGGATTGCCGGTCGGGTGTTGTCAGTTTCCAACATCGGGCGGTAGCAGCTCTCTGAGCTTAAGGCATCCTCTTGCTTCTTTGGCCGAGCGGAGTCGAGGTTGCCGGATAAGGAACGTAGTCTAGCTGAGATAGGATTTAAGTAACGGAATGTGGCCGCAGTCGAACTCCCTGGCAGTGGGTATCATTTCATCATTAGTGGTGATTTGATGATAAATCAGTCTCATGTATTAATATTATTGATCATCTTCATGAGATCAATTCTAGGCGTCATCTGTGATAGACAACATGTGATGTACAGCGTATCTATTCTACTTCCACGTGTATCGGTCGTCACGTTAGGCTGATGCCGACAAATTTTAGCGTTTTAGGGTGGGGTCATTTAGGAAGCTCCGTCGTCAACGCAGAGAATGATTTAATTCTACTGTTAGATTTGATACGAATGATGCGCCATTCCGCCTTGTGCAACGCAGGTCCTGAAAACTGATGATAGTTATTATCATGGGATTCTCCAAGGCTTATAATGACAATTGGCATTTTGTTTTGCTCAGTATGCTGTGTTTCTCGAGAGATCAGACTTCGGGTTGAAGTGGTATGAATTTCCTGGTCGTATGGTGGTGGGAATATGGGAAGTCGTAGCATTAGTATCACTATAGGTAGTAGTAGCACTATCAAAAGTTCTATTCGAAATTTTTGTTGTAGTATTGAAGATTATGTTAGTAAGATTACTGTTGATGCTACTACTGGTAGAAGTGTAGCACTACTAAATAGTTACAGCAGTAGTGATAGGGTAGTCAGGTTGTCTTTGTCAGTCTACGGTGTATGGTCAACCAAGGCGCTGCCATTTTGCCTGTCCCTCCATCGGACTTGTCTCAGAAAAGCCCTCCCTCACTGAGCAGTAGGGGTGACTCTGCCAATCCTCAATCACCAGTCGGGGATATCACTCCCCTCGCTATGTCCGGTGGCGTTGGTCGTCGTAGGCACAGCTCCACTACTTCTATCAGAGGTCCACGTGGTTTCTGCTGGTCCTATCAGTCCTCTGGTCGCTGTGGTAGGAGTGACGAGTGCCCCTTGCAACACGTTACTGGGATGGAGGCTGTGGAGTTATGCAAGCAACAAGAGTGTCTGTTCTACAGCAAAGGTCACTGCCGTAAGGGTGACAACTGCCCTTATGTTCATAATGCAGCGAGGAAACAACGCCCTCGGGTTGGTAGCAACCAAGGGCTTCACCGACAACGCCCACAACAGCAGCATGCCAAGAGGGACTATGTGACCAATAGTATAGCACTGTTGGAAACTCCGCCGATCGGCTCTCAGAAGAACAATCGTCAGTATAGGAAGGCCAGTACGGGTCGTGGGGCTGGGAAGAAGAACAACAATGGCGGCGGCCGCTTGCCTCATCAACGAGCTCTCATGGAGGAAGCTGGTCAACAACAACAGCAGCAGAACTCATCCAAGCACGTCCGAGAAACTGTGCTCACGATTAGTGCAGAGGCACTTGGTGGCGACTTCACTGCCTGGGGTGTGTCTACTTATGAGGGAAGCGATGATATGGTTAGTGGTGACAACTCTCCGGTATACATGCTCTACGATACTACGCCTGACTCGACAACTCCTACAGCAGTAGCCTATGCAGCAGCTTCAAGTCTTTGCTGTGGCCTCACTATGAGCACTCAAAATTATGTGGATTATTGTCGTGCTCTGCAGCTTCGTGGGATGCTCTACCCAAACGTGTCTGTGGATAATCTTAGACGGGCCTCCATCGACGTCGTTTACGAGGACTAGTTTGGGAATGCTGGCAGGTTAAGAACCAGCAACCCCCCGTCAGAGTTTTTGTAATTTGAATAACACCGATAGTCGTCGTCATCATCAGGGGTCCTTATCGGGATTAATCTCTGATTCCCATGTACATGTGGCCCGATGGCCCAGCTTTTCTCCACCTCAGTTCGGCTGCTGAGAAAGTGAGGAGCAGCAGCAGCAGCATTCTTTGCTAGAGGCACTGTATTATTCTCGAGTTTTTATTCACTTGCCAGTTTTTTTTCAATCCTAATTTTTAATATTTGAAGATTTTGCTTTGCGCTCTCACTCGGGTGTAGTGAGCTAGATGCTCCCTTCTGTCCCGTAATACTATGTGACGGTAGTGTACAATGCTGCTGGTATCATTGCCATATGTTAGGTGATGATTATGTCTGCTATTCATCTGTCCATGTATCGTTAATGTTTGGAAGCCCCAGGTGGTAGTAGTGGTAGTCTGGGTCGGCATCTGCTGTTGCTCCCACCTATTTGTCGGGGTCAAGGTCGGAGTGTATGATCTTACTTTTTGCGTTAAGCATATCCATTACCCTCCTGTCGAGTTTGATTAATCAATTCATCCTTTTGAACACGAACGCTCCGTTCAAGCCGATAAGTTCAGAAGGAAGAGGATTGGATTTGCGCTTGACTGCGTTGAAAACGCGTGTGGAAGAATCCGTGAGAAAGTTAACTGCGTGTATCTATGAAAAGGAGAGAGTTATGAAGTGGTTTTTGATAATGCAATAAGGAAACCCCTGATCTTAGCTGAGGAAGCGGAACATATAATCCGAGGACATTACCTGGTAGGAAGTTGAGTGGTAGGTCAAGTCGTCCTTCAGTTTATTGTTGAGAATTCTCATGGATGTGGATTTCGATACTGAACTGCGAATAGCTAGCATGAGTTACCACACCTTCGGCAACTCTGCTTCCCAGCTACGCAGAATGCTACCAACCACACAGACAGGACTACTTGTGCCTCCCGAGGATGAGTGGTAGTGTTCGAAGCGGTTGTCGAGATGACTCAGTACCTGTCTTAGGTTTATCGTCCTCTCTGCTGATCCCAATGGGCTCTACATGGCGGGCATCACCAACGCCGGCTACCTCTGCCTCTACGACCTGCGCTCGAACATCATGGTTTGGTCCTTGCCGCTCATCCAAAGTGGACGCGATCAAGTCTGGCTGGCAGTTTGGTGGTGGCGCGACTGCATTCTGGCTGTAGCCGATACTTTTCTGGCCGTAGTAGACCCCGTCACAGAGAAGTGTATCGTTGCGGCTGAATACCAGGAGATGGCATCCCTGGAGCTCATCGGAATCCGCCACGACCAGTTTTTGACGGCTCTTGGGATCCCAGCGGATCGTGGAGTAACACAAGACCACTCAGGATTAGTCTCATGCATAAACAGGTACCTCGCATTGTTCGCTTCCACCTATCACATGGTCACGACAGCGGTCCAATGTCGCTGATAGAGGACACCGATTCTGGGCCCAGGATCGACTTCTCGGTGTTGTCCTGCGATCAACATTTCAAGTGGCAGGCGTCAGCCGTGGACGTCAATGAGGCCGATGGTAGAAATGGAATGCCTGTCTTTGGGTCACCTTGTTCATCCAGCCTTGCCGACGCACGCATGCGCTACACTACAAGGGCAGAAGAGTTCATCAAAGACGTCTATTCGACTCTTTGCTATCGGCCTCAATTCGGAAGGCGAGACGGAGACGCTGGCGAAGGCCCACATGGTACCGGCGTATGGTCCAGTGGAGCAAGTAGCTTGTCTTGGCACGCAGGCTCAGGATGGGCAGTCAGCGTGGCTGGTCAGCAATAAAGTCGATGGATTGTTTAATATGGTTCTTGTCTGAGCTCAGGTCTTGGTCCAGCAAGTTGAAGTCATATCGGTCTTCCAAGCGGTCCCAGTAGCCTGCCGAATGTCGCCTGCGTCATCACCACCGTCAGATTACGGATCAGACGCCGACACATATGAGTGGACCGTAAGTTATATTTGAGGAAGGCATAAGGGGTGTCTTTACAAATGCGATTACACCATCTCATCTGGTGCGATGAAACGCCCTGCTCTTTTGTGCCGAGTTTATTTATCGATGTACTTGAGAGCTAGGGTTGGTCCCCGCATATGAATGGTCCTCAATACTTCCCATGCGAACAGCGTGCTCGACACGAATCGGTATTTGTCTTTTACAGTGCTGTTGTCTCAGCTAGAGCTAGTGCAAGAGCTACGCGACTCCCTAGAGTCTATGTGTTGGACTAGTTTCGACCCTCTTCCGAAGCCTCCCGGCAGTGGTAATGATGCAATCTTGCGCATGGGCGTCACATTCATTGTGTGCTGCTGCACCCCTTAGGTCAACCTGGGTGGTTGCTGTTGTGTGCTGGTCACTCCAGAGGTGGGCAAGGGACTTTGCAGGTAATAAGAGATGTCATGATATACATCATGTCCCTCATAGAGTGAGCTGTAGTCGATTTATCTCGAAAAGTTCTTATGTATTGGTCTTGATGAAACATAGAGAAGGCAGTGTTGCTCACGTGATCGACCTGCTCAGAAACGGGGTAAAGCCGTCCGGAGCCGGACGAAGAGCTGTGCGAACGCAGATGATTGCCTATACAAATGGAACACCAGCAAGCTGAATACTCCCTTGGTCCGGGTTCACGTATTCCCTATCATGATTATCAGTCTCTACATGTTTCTGCCTCAGTGGGTGCCCTGTAGAGGTGGGAGCATGTTCTTAGGGCTGCTCGC